AATTTTTTTTAAATGTTCAAATATAATTAAATAATTTTATTTTTTCTTTGTGAAATGAAAAAATAAAAATAAACGTTTAGAATCAAATTATAATAATAAAAAAAAAAAAGAGAAATCCAATCGTAATAAATGTAAAGTTTTGAGAATTAATTTAATAATTTTTTTTTTCATATAACTAAATTAAAATTATCATATAATTATATAAATATTGAAAATGACATGTCTAGTCATAAAGAAATGTATAAAATGAAAAATCACATCTCACTTTATTATTAATCACAATTATTAAATATCTATGTTTAATATACACTTGACACCAAAAGAATGATATTATTGCTATGTATTATTATTACTATTTTGATACCTTATACCACTTAATTCATTTTTTGAATTAGTCCAATATATGTATATCAATTTACCCAGATGGAACTATACATATACATATATGTATATCACTTTTAAGATAAATTTATCTATAGAATAAACTATATTTTATAAACATGAATATTAGAATAGTATACCAAATTTTTTTTTTGACGATATTAATATTTTATTTTCGGGCTTATTGTTAATTAAAAATGTATAAAACGTTTTATGTTTTTTAATTAATTAATTTTTTTAATTATAATTATCAAAAAGACTTAATGAGGGTTTGAAATTGCATTGTTTGCAAAGGTCAAATCTCTTGTCTGGCACTAAATAATTTATTTTATTAAAATATAACTCGAAGCGAGCGCATGACACAGGTCAAAAGAAGCGGACCCGTAGTAGGTGTCCACCAACTTATCCATAACCTCTAAAAGGCCCGAACTCTAAAAATTAAAAAATTAAAAAATAAATTAAAACAAACATGTGGTGTATAATTTTTCCTGAATTAAAAAAATAAAAAAAATAAAATAAAAAGAGGACCAACAAGGAACGAGTGGCGTCCAGCCATCCATATCCGTTTGCCCTCTCCTGTTTGGCAATGTAACGTGGCGTTGTCCGTTAAGTCCGACGGTAAGTGGTGATGACGTGGCAAAAAGTGCATAGAAAGTCACCTGACTCTTTATCTCTCATCCTCATCATCTCCTTCGCTTTTAATCCACAACTCGTGGCCTACCTCCTCTCTCTCTCTCTCCCCTTACGTTTTTTAGAGGCTCCAGATATTTTATTTATTTATTTTTTTTCTCACGAAAATATCGTCCTTTATTTTTTTGATTATTTAATTAATTATTTTTAAAATATTATTTATTTATTTTCTTTAATTTTGTGTCTCTATCTTCTCTTCAAACTTTTTGTTTCTTTCGCACTTTCAGCGGGTATGGTTTTTTCCCCTACTCGCCCTCTCGTGCCTCCTTCCCAATCCTTGTGGCTCCAATATAATTTCGCTTTCTCTTTTACTTTTAATTATTTTTAATTCACTGCATCACAAAAGATTAAATAAAGTAAAAAAATAATTATAATAAATTTAAGCCAAAATTAGTTTTTTTTTTTTTATAAATAATTTAGTTCATGAGGTTTATTCTTATTAAAATTATAAATTATAAATTAAATAATCGAGAAAAAAAATTATTAAATGTAATAAAATTGAAGTTATGTATTAATATATTAGTATTCAATTAAATGTATAATAGAATACATAAAATACAATATTATTGCGTATATATATATTTTTTTATTTAAGATGAGTTAAAGGGAGAAATATTTTTTTATTGATAATAGAAAATTCTATAATATTAGATTTTGATGGGATAATTTTTTTAATTATCTCACTTATTTAAAAGCAATTTGATAGAATAAAAAATATTTTACTTGGTAAAATTTGCTCTGATTATGTTATAATTATTGGTAATTTAAAATTATTTTATAAAGAAATGAAAAAAGAAATATCTAAATGGGTTGTTCCACGTGGCGATGAATTAGTGGCGAATAGGGAAGCGAAAGAGTAAAGCTGTGCGAGTGGTGGTGGTGGTTGTGTAATTTCACGCGCTGGTCGCTCAAACTCTCTCTCATTCATTCCGGAATGGATTAAGCATCTGCGTAATAAAAAGCGCAGGGCACGAATACACACGACCGCCACGTGTCCAAGCCATCTTTCAACGTGAGCCACAAGATTCCATCTATCTCTCGACCTTTCTATCAAACCCATTTATTTAAAAAATTAAATAAAAAACCAAAAAATCAAATAGCGAAAAGCAGAAGCTGACGTGGCAACACCTCCTTTGTTCTTTTTTTAATTATTTATTTTTATTTTATTTTTTTCTCTTTTAAACGTCACAAGCCAAATACCACTCTCCTCCATTATTCATTAGTCTCTCTGTTTTCTCTGTTCTCAGTTTACTCTTCTTCTTCGTCTCTAACTTCCCTTCGTCTCCCTGTATAATCCCTTTTTCCATTTCTCGGTTTTCCGGTGAATTGGTGTCTCGGCGTTTTCTTTTCCGGTGAGACTTTCAGGGAAAAGAACTGCCTCTCCGGTGATCGGACAACCGTTGTTTTGCTTGGGAGTAAACTACTTTATATTCTCCTTGTCTTTCTTTCTCTCTCTTCTTTTTGTTCGTCTCCGCTTGCCGAAATTATCGAGTATAAATACTCGCGAATTATATTCAGGATTATTCTCTTCGTTTATCACTGTTTTGTGATGGAATGTTGCGGCACTAGTTTATAGCTTTGAGTTGATTCTCTCCTGTTTTCTTCTTCAGAGGAAGAAATAAGATTATTTCGTGGATTTTTCGGAAGCTATGGGAGGTTTTAATTTAGACGCAGTAGAGTTATTGAGTCGAATCGGAGCGAATCCGAAACCTCTGTTTGGTGGAATCAAAATCGAATATCAAGGCTTTTTTTCTTAGCAGATCGTTGAATTCGTGGGAGGCTTTTTTTAGTTTAGAATCTACGCCAGAAATCAGTTATTATTTCTAGAAATTTGTTTTGGATCAAGAGGAGTCATTGTGTGAACAGATTTGTTGGCTCAGAGAAGAGAGGAAGCAAAATTTGGCGTTCAGTTGGGAACAGATAGCTTAGATTTATCACTATCTCACCGTCTTATGATTGTGGGGAAAATTAGAAAAAGTGCGTTTCATTTTCAAGCTCCGAATTTGCGTGCGGGAGATCGTGCTCGGTTGTGGGCTTGATGGTTTCTATAGCTATGGCTGTTCAGGTATATCTGAAATCCCAGTTAAATTATTGCTTTCTATGCATAGCTATGTAGATGGTCTAAGAAGGGGAAAGACAGAAAGTGTTTACCTGAATCACTGTATTTGCTCTGGATCTTTTTGCCCTTCTTATAGAAATGTCTAAGAGAAATATCTTGGCTCATTAATGAGATTGTCAAATGCAATATTTAATTTCGTAAAAAGAGTATTTTATGATCCAACAGAGCTCTGTAGCAGTATAAAAGAGTAACTCCTGGTTTCATTTGGTGTCAGAAAAAATTAGATCTGATAAATGGGTTTATATGTCATTGTTCTTTGTAAATTATCTTCTTATATCATTGGAGATTCGGCCTGTCTTGCTTCTCTTTTAGCTATATGTATTCAATTTTGCTCAATATTTTTTTTTTTCTCTGTCTTAATTTCTGAGAAATTTTGCATTGAAAATGACTAAGAATACCCTCTCTCTCTTTTTTGTTTTTACCACTCACATGGTAGTTTTCATTTGGCTTCCAAGTTCCACTAGTAGCAAAAAGTCTCGAGCGTGTTCTAAATGAATGTCTTCAAACTTCGCTATTTAAACCGCTAGATTTTCTACATTTATGAAATTAATGAACATCCGACTGATCGCTTCTCGATGTAATTTGGGTGTGTTGAATTGCAATGGATCTTCCCTTTCTGTTGCCCCAGCCTCCAATGTTGAAATGAAGGTAGCATTTCTCAGTTTCTCATGGCTTCATTTTTTTTGTTGGGTATTGAATATAGGATCAGCGCATAGGTTCGCGTTCAAACACAGTTCTCACAGCAGGAAACGGAGACATAGTGACCGCTGGCCTCTATAACGTGACTAGGCAAGAGCAGTTTCCTTGTGGGCATGACTATGCTCCTAAGGTGTTAATATTGCCTGCGTTCTCTCTTCTGCTTTTATCTTCTAAAACTCAGTTTGAAACTTCTGCTCACGATCCTCAATTCGTTTTTCACTAGGTAAGGAAACCATATACAATTACAAAACAAAGAGAGAGATGGACAGATGAAGAGCATAAGAAATTCATTGAAGCCCTGAAGCTCTATGGGCGAGCCTGGCGACGTATAGAAGGTAAAATTGGGTGATAAATTATAATCGTGAAGCATGTCTTCTTAGAACCTGTAAATAAATATGACCTTTTTCTGTTTTGTTAACAGAACATGTGGGTACGAAAACTGCTGTTCAGATACGAAGCCATGCTCAGAAGTTCTTTTCTAAGGTTTACTGCTCTTTTTCCAGTATCCATTCTCTATCATAATGTCTATAGTCTACTTATTAAAGTAAGTTTAGTGACCCAAATGTGCTAATGACTTTAAATGGGTTAACTGTACGATTGTTTAACATTTGTTCTGGCTTATCCTTGTTGTAGGTTGTCCGAGAGACAAGTGGCAGCAACACAAGCTCTGTGGAGCCAATTGAAATTCCTCCCCCTAGACCGAAAAGGAAGCCAATGCACCCTTATCCCCGTA